GTGAATCATATTAATGATACTAGTTTAAATAAATCGAATGTTTTTCAATTCCCAGGTTCTCTATATGCTCTACGTCTTATTATCCTATGCCTAGTCCTATGGTGAATTGGGAAATGGGGAAACTGAGGCTAAGTGACTTGTACAAAGTCACACAGCTAGTACATGATAAAGTTAGAACTCAAAGCCAAGTTTGTCTATAAAGCCCATGGTCTTAACTCCTATGCTGTATTGATTATGGCTTTAAGAAAATTAGCATAATGTCTAATGAATAGGATCTATGTTTGGACAAATAGAATGTAAAAGTGGTATTATAAAAGTTATCTTCTGTGCTATACAAGAGTTTTCTTTTAGTTCTTCAGTTTAAAGAATTTTACTCCTTTGAGACTGCCAACAAATTTCAAATTTACTCTTTGGGACTGTCAAGAGGGACTGATGTTTGATGACCTATTCAAGGATCAACTCAATTTCTTCATCTTATCTTCCTCTGTTTTCTGTTCCTTTTACCTCAAATAGATTCACCCAAGTGTAGGAAACATGAAATATTTCTGCATAAATGTTGGATCTATGTGTATGAACCAGTTGGGTCTTAATAATTTCTCCTCAGTAGCCTGCTCTTCACAATATTATAATTCAACAGTGCATGTTTTGTGTGTCTCCAGGAGTTGAAATACTTGATAATGGAACCAGTACTACAAATGCAAATAACCATAGGGGGGCAATGATATAAAAATCTCAATATCTAACCAAAATTGGAAGAGGATACACTCGCGCGCACGCACACACACACACACACGCACACACACACACACACACACGCAAATCTATACATTTATTTTAAGTAGAATAAAATGTGACCGATATTTTTTTTCTAAAATTCAGTTCCATATAGGTGAGTTTAAGATCCACGTAAATAATGTAAGCACTATCTATTTGAATATCTCTTTGTGCAACTTATAGATTTCTCAGTGTGGTTGAGAACTGAACTCATTACATTTTTTTTGGTCTAATTAGTAATGCACATAGGCCTCTTCTTAATGGTATTATGGCTTTACTATCCATAAAGCCAATCTTTCTTGAGGATAGCATCACTTTCTATTGAAGAATTTATTTCAATCTTTGTTTAAATTTTCGTACTCATTGCGCTATGAAATGTACAAGTGAATGTTATTAAGGATTTAATATGAACGTATATGAATTTGATGAGGCTTGTTCAGCTTTCAGAGTCGTCCCTATGTATGAATTCTTATATTAAGAAGCTTGTTTGTTCTTCAATCAGTTTAGCAAATGGGGCTCGGGGCAAATGAACTCATTCTTATGCACATGTTTCTAAAACAGTTCTCTCTAATGTTTGAGATAAATTAAAATAAAAACCAACAAGAACATGAAAAGAGACTAAGAACAATGTTAATGTGGCAATTTAAACCAATTTGGTTTTCCAAATGACCTTCCATCATTCATAGCTTTTAACAGTATGCAAGATCACTATCCTTACTGCCAGATACTATCAATCTGCTGTGAAAACTTAAAACTTTTTTCTAAATGTCTTTAAAGCTGAGGTGGAGAAGAATGATTCTCTCTTTCACTTTTTGAAGGGTGTATGGTTGAATCGTGGCTATGCTGTCCTCCCAACGTGTCACTTATTGATTGTCCAACATAGTTTTTTCTTTTTCTAGCCTGTACCATGTTCCAAAATAATTTTCTCTGGGTCTTTATGTTTGAAAGAGCATCAAAGGGGTGGAGGAGATGCTTAGGAGGGCCAAGCACCCTATGTATTTAGAGGAAGTAGATCACTGCAGTTATTTAATTTATTCGATGCATATAAAATCCTGGAAGTTTGGAACTTTGGGCACTTTTGATTTTGCCCTGTTTGTTACTAAGAATATTTAGCTTTATATTTGCTATTGACTTCACTAATCCATTGTGCAGTGAGCAGAATGAAGCTTATTACTATCTTTAAAGTTGTAGCCTATAATGACAGTTACAGAAAACCCAAAGTAATAAAATACGTTCAAGGTGAATCTGGCACGACCCATTTGCCATTTCTCAGTAAACTCTTGTGTCAGGACTAAAACTTGAGAGGGATCAAAGCTTATGAAGACGGATGACATCCCTTGGAATATCCGTCTGCTGTAGAATAGGATTAAGAGTTATAGATATAGGTTCTTTTCAGAAAAGTGTATGTTCCTTTTCTATGAAGAGAATTTACCTAACTTTATTTTGGATGAATAGACTTCTGAGTACCTAGATCCACCTGGAAGGATCATAATGATCTCTCTCCAGTAGCTATATTAACAGGTATTACTAACTTCTTGAGCTATGGCCTTGTTGAAGCACCAAGAAGTTAAGTTGCCTTTCCGTTTTTTTCTCGTTGCCTGCATGCTTCTTTTATTTTCTGTGAGAAATAATACTTTGAGGAAAACTTGATACACTCTAATCCAAAATCATTAGTTGTTCCCTCCGTTCATTGCACTTTGCCCATTGATATGTCAATATATTATGCTTTGTGCCAGCTGTACAGGGTCCTGTAATGTAGGCTGAAAACAAACCCATAGTTGCCCCTTTCATGACTTGTTGTTGCTGTTGTTGTTGTTGTTTTATTCTTGGTTAATGAGTATGATGAGTCAGCTTCTTAGAATAATTTGTTCGTAGGAGAAATGAATGGGGACTCTTGCAGGCATCTCGCAACATTGCCACTCTT